TGGACATTCCTTGTTGTCAATCGTGCAAGGGGTCACCGGTTGCTTCGTTGAACACAGGCTTGGACATTCCTTGTTGTCAATCGTGCCAATGTCGGTGCAAGGGGTCACCGGTTGCTTCGTTGAACACAGGCTTGGACATTCCTTGTTACAGCCAATCGTGCCAATGTCGGTGCAAGGGGTCACCGGTTGCTTAGTTGAACACACCGGCTTGGACAGAAGTAATACTATATCTTTTCATGTATTTCTCAACTTTCTTCAGGTTGACTTCTGATTTTGATAACTTTGGTTTTTGCCAAGCCCACTGATCCAGCCCCCGCGGATCCAACCCTACAAACGAGCATGTCGAAAAATGGCCGGGGTGTGATGCCAACGTTTGCAGATCAGCTGACCTCCATCTCCATCACATGGCGTTCAGCTCCGTTGTTTTGAACGGTCTTGTGCAGCACTCATCAGCTATGGAATGCTCTGTGACACATGTGATGCGCGTGAGCAGATCTTGACGTCGGCCCGGGCCCTACGATTTCATTGGAACGCTAGCCTAGCATGGGCCTTTTGCCAGATGTGGAGATGCCGTAGCCATTTTCGCTGAAGAACGAGGCCCAAGGAACTCGAGCGAGCAGTCAGTTTCATTTCTTTCTTCGGAAAGTTCGCCATGTCGGGCTCTTGGGGAGGCGCTGACACACAGACGTAACTAGTGTCTGTAGTGTTCGCTGCCCCTCATGTGGGATGCGCGCCTGTCCGCAGAAGGGTGCACGAGCACCATTTTTGCGTATTTTGCCATACAGAGGCGAAGCGCCTGAGCTCTTCCCGGACCTAGGCCGGGCCGTTCGCCGCCGCTGCCCCAGAGTGTTTGGCTATGAGTGCCCTCAGACCAAGCGTCGTTGGTGGTTTCATGAGGCACGTCAAACTTGGTTTTGGGAGAACCGAGGTCTGTTACCGGCTGCATGTGAGGAGGCCTCGACCCCGGCATAATGTTTACAAGACGTGTTGGACATGCTTCCAGGCTTTCGTGTTAATCGACACCAACGATGACATTCCTGCTTCAGCTGCAGAACCGGCTCAAGCTCGGCACGATAATGGCAGTCTAGATGTCAGCTGCCGTGGCCATCGCTGTGGCGCTGCAATGGACCCCGGGTGCTGATTGTTTGGAGTTGCGCGGCTTGCCTCGAAATGTGAACCATCTCATTGGTGGGTATCTGGATGCCAGGATATGCTTGGGATACCCAGACTGCCTTTTCCCACCCAGAGAGCCGGACATCGACTTCCCGCAGATTCAAGTGAAGACGGATGTGCTTCGTGTAGTGTACTGGCTCATTTTCCCTGCCTTGCGAGACCTGGAAAACAGGAGTCAAGGTGACTGGAGTCAAGGCGTCGTTTTTCTCTTGTGAGAATGATATGCCGACCCTCTGAGTCCTTTCATGTCAGGAGGCCTCGACCCCGGCATAACATGTCTCCATGTCAGGAGGCCTCGACCGCGTCATAATGTTTAGAAGACGTGTTGGACCCGCTGACGCTGTCCAGGGGGTTCAACAACAGGAGATGGACTGACGAGGCTGCTACGTGTGGTCGAGGAAACAGACTAGAAGGCGCTGTTCTGCACTGCAGTGTGTGGTGGCATGTGTCGCTTTGCAATCAGTGAACATGATTTCGATTTCTCTGTCGCAGTTGTTGCACTTTGGATAGCTTCCAGCAGCAGTGGCAAATTGTATAATTACATTCTCGATCATCTATCAAGCATGATTGCGCGGTTTCTGTTACAAATAGGAACCATGCATGTTGCAAGCCATGCTGGACGCTAATGTGGTTCGTTGCTTCTGCAGTGCTTGGCTACAGCTGTGGCTGCTTAGTTGCCCAACTCTCTGCCCCCTCAACCAAGCCTCGCCTCTCCACGTCCTGATGTTGATGTCACTAGGATTTCATTGCCCCAAACCTAGCATGTCTTGCTGCTTTGCAGGTGCTGGCTCCATATCACTCGAACTGCATGGTGCTGGTTGCCCGATGCTTACAGTTGGGCCTGCAATGCGAGGCGACGACGCAGATGGATTCTGCTCCGGAGTATGAAGAAGCAGTATGCTGCACGAAGATCGCAGCATTCTCGTCGTGTTATGAGACGGAATTAATCAATTCGTCAGCTTGCTACTATGCTCCTCGGAGCATGGTGCCACACTCTCTGAGTGCCCGAACGGGCGGTTTCTCATGCATGGGCACGACCCCAAGACATGAAGCACTTTGGCTTCGGATGCTAACAGACAGGCGATGTTTAGTTGTGCTGTAAGTTGCGTGATGAAAAGCTGCTTTGTTGTCAGTAGTAGTAGTATAGTAGTACTCACAAGGCCACTCTCTCTGTGATGTCACTCCACCGCAGTCTTGATTCTGCTTTGAAGTTAGTTAGTTTAGGATTCTGATTTCGAATACGCCTGCACCGCCTGCGACTCAGCCTCTGTCTGCCACAGGTACTATGTATGCGCTGCAATCTCAGCCTGCGTGCCTGTCTCCCCTTGCATAAGTTTGTGCTCGGAGAAGAGTTTCTTGCTTGATGCGTACCGTACTCTGATCGAACAACAGCAGGGACCTTCTGTTCCGCCGGCGTTGTCTATGACGCCGCTGAATGACCTCTGCATTCTTGCGAAAGAAACACTGACGATTGAGAACTGGAGTGTTTTCGCTGCATATGCCGAGGGCTTCAGCGAGGTACTGCCTGGTCCCTCCCATACTTGGTTTCCATGGCCTATCAAGGATGCACAGGGCTCGCGCGCTGCCTCCAACAGGTACGCCGTGGCCGTTTTGGAGGAGCGTACTGGCACACTCTGGACGGCGGTCAGGCTTGTTGTCTCCCATATGGAGTTTCAGCCAGAGGCTCGGAGGCAGGCGGTCAAACCACTGCTTGGGCTGCGTCTAGGTGCAAGTGGGCACCGCGCTTACTGTGGGCTTGCTCGGCCGACTGCCACCCATCGTTCGGTCTGCGTCCTCCTGAATGCGCTGATCCTCTTGGCCCGGCCTGAACATCGCTGGACAAGCCTCGCGATCACGGCGGATAACACCCTTGGTCAACACCCTTGGTCCACACAAGGATGTCCAGAATGCGCAGGAACCGTCGCTACTTATCAGCTTGAGCCATCACGAAGGCGGTGAGCTTTGGGTGTTTGACGGCCATGGCAACTCCTATGAGGAGGCTGATGGTCGTATGCTTCCGGGGAGGTCCATTCGTACTCACATGAATTGTATTCTTCTGCAGGCGGCCTCTGTGCTACATTGCGTGAGACCCACTACTGCAGGAAATCGCATCATGCTGATTGCCTTTACGATCGGGCAGCATCGACGCTTGAATGACTCCATACGTGAGGAACTTGAGACTTCGGGCTTTGTGCTTCCCTAGGCTAGCCCCCACACGTGGTGATCTGTGCCCTCCTCTACGCTGCCTTTGTCCCCGTTGGCCTGGTTGGTTGGATAGCATAGCATGCGCATCTCTTAATTTTGGGCAGCAACGCCGCGGCTCTCGCAAAAGACCCATTGCATGTGTGCGAAGCATCCTGCCAAATGTCTGCGAGACGTGCTCCTAAAATTATTCCTTGCCTTCAGTCTGCTCAGGTCAATATGGCCTCGGCGATGGCGAATGCGGCATTTGCCGGTCAATTGACAGGCAATTTCAGCCGCCGTCGTGGCAGCGACCCTGGCAGCAGTCACAGTGCAAACGCGCTAGATCTACAGGGATGTTGCACACCGCACTGCGCGCTCCAGTTTGCTGCCTCACATCATCGTCATTGCTGTAGTACATGCCAACATACCAATGGTGCTGCACATAGCCGACGTTGTGGCAAAGCGCAGCGCTCCATGCTACGTGCAGGCATTATTCGCTTGCCTTGACTGTTACATGTGGCATCCCAGGATGTATGAGAATGAGCAACCCAGGCTTTCGCTCCTGTTGCTCAGCATGTGATGGTACTGGTAGGCACAGCAGACTTTGCAATGATGTTTGGCGGCGTGGCAACAGGGGCCATACTGCTTCAGGTAGTGCGGATCCCATGACTGGAGATACGATGCAGACGGCGCGGTTGGCGCCCACTGTTCCATTGACTGTGCCCGGCCAAGCTACAGGCGATGATCCTCTCCACTCGAGGGCGGGAGCAGTTCGCTCGGGGGCTTCACCTTCGAGCGTAGGCTCTTCCCGCATGGCGGACGAGAATGAAGTTACTCGTTTGATGCCGACTTTCGATTTGGATGCGATGGAGATGCCGACTTCACGGTTTGATCTGCTTTCTTTAGATTAAGAGGGTCACCAAATGCGTGACGAGACCCAGTTCTTCTGGAGCCTCCGTGTAGCCCACTGCGGCTGCATGCCTCAGCCCTCTCGCAGACATCGTACTCGGTGCGCGTTCTGAATGAATGAATAGTAACATCAGTACCAGAAGTGCTCGTCCTGGTTGTACGTTTACTAGTAGATATATACGATTACTAGTACTAGTACGAGTAGCAGTAGTAGTAGTAGTAGTACTAGTAGTAGTAGTTCTACTACTACTACTACTACTACTACTACTACTACTACTACTACTACTACTACTACTACTACTACTACTACTACTACTACTACTACTACTACTACTGGTAGTAGCAGTGGTAGAAGTTTTAGTACTCGTCTACTTGTTGTTGCTCGAGCTTTTTGCCTGGCAGTTTTCTTCTTTCCCATGTCAACAATTTTCCTCATGACTTTCATGTGCAGACATGTGCAGTCAAGTCTGTTGCTGCCTTGCGTGACAGTTGTGTCTCTGCTATTTCATAGCTCAGAGTGTGTTGGTACCTGTGTGAAGAAAGGATGCCGACTGGAGCCACGGACCCCGTCGCGACCGACGTGTCTGCGCCAGACTCTTGCTCTCCAGCAGGCACGGCAAGCACGCCGCTTTCATGTACAGACATGTGCAGTCAAGTCTGTTGCTGCCTTGCGTGACAGTTGTGTCTCTGCGATTTCATGGCTCAGAGTGTGTTGGTACTTGCGTGAAGAAAAGATGCCGACTGGAGCCACGGACCCCGTCGCGACCGACATGTCTGCGCGAGACTCTTGCTCTCCAGAAGGCACGGCAAGCACGCCGACTGGAGGCACCGACCCCGTCGACGCTTGGTACTTGTCTGCGCCCGAAAGGTCGCCACCCCTCGCGTGTGTGCCAATTGGCAGTGCCGGTGTCGGGCATCAGCCGACGATGGACGCTGCTGCCTCGAGAGCTCAGGTCGAAGCCGAATTTGACGGCGTGATCGTCCGAGCGCAGCCTACTGACTGCAGCGCGCCTCCGATCGAGAATGCGGGCAAGTCGGTGGAGATGTACCCCGCCATCGGAACGAATTTTCCTGAAGTTTTTCTTGTCCGGATACCATGAGAGCGTGGCACTGGGATGTTGAAACAGAGGAATGGTTCTTTGAAGATGAGGCCGAGCAGAATGGTTGGGCTGGCTATGAGTGCCCTCAGACCAAGCGTCGTTGGTGGTTTCATGAGGGACGTCAGACTTGGTTTTGGGAGAAGCGAGGTGTGTTACCGGTGCATGACAGGAGGCCTCGACCCCGGCATAATGTCCCATGTCAGGAGGCCTCGACCCCGTCATAATGTTTACAAGACGTGTTGGACATGCTTCCATGCTTTCGTGTTTCCTCATGTGTGATCGAGTACAAGAGATTTGGTGTCGTTGACGCTGTCCACGCGTGAGTTTACCAGTCTGGCGCAAGCGCATCAAGTGAAGTGGGAATGCGAGGACACAAAAGTCGCGTGTAGAGCTGTAGAGCATTTATCTGCTGAAGAGCTTGCGATGTGCTTGTGGCAGTCCGATGCGGTGCTCATCTCGTACTGCCTTCCATTTCTACTAGTTTTGTTCCTGAGTTGATGCAAGATTACCCGACGTTACGCAGGTTTTCTTGCGCAACGAAGTTCGACGGGGAACGCTGCGGGACGCTTAGCAATTAAGTGTTGGAGGATATGAGTTTCTACGACGTATATGTATATATATATATATATATATATGCTACCCCCCCCAGATACCAATAGATTTATGTGTTTTGTTCCCTAAACCCTGCAAATCAAGTACCCAAGGGCCTCGGAAGACATGGCGCGGCAGACTGTGGCAAACTGGACCAAACTACTTACAAGCTGCTTCTGGAAGCGACATGCATGCATCTGCACATGTACATAACCTACACAGAAGCATGGCTGCTGCGGTGTCAGAGGTTCTTGTCCGATGCTCATGAGCTCACACCACCACATCAGAAGCAATGAGAGGAACATTGACGGATATTTTCTCGAACGAAAGCAATAAGCGACGATGCTTCGCGAGGAGAACGTATGCACACGTGTGTACGTTCGCCGTGTTTCCGGTGATGCGTGGCGTGTTTATGCGACGGCTTACACATAACATTTTTTGAGGGCCTCTGTACAAAGCTCGCCGCTCGCCAGCCAAAGATCGGAATTCTTAAACCAGTAGTCGTATTGTGCTGACCGCAGTTTCGCGCGCAAGAGACTGGAACCTGCCTTGACATTTTGGTTGATGGCGATGCGGTCCTTCAAAAACCTCCAGGCTCGGTCAATGATTTGAGTGCCTGATTTGACCTTCAATTTCTTGTTGCTGCCTGGCACTTTGTGGGTTACCATGGTGACATACTTCGGGCTTGTCCACTGGTACTTGCCGTTGATTTTGACGCGCTTCTTGCAGTGAACGACTCTGTCATGGATCACCCCGTCAACCTTCGCCTTATAGCTTTTTGCCGAATCGGTATGGAGAACAACTTTGCGGTCGCGAAGTTTCTCTTGAGCGAGGCTCTTCCACTCGATCTTCCGGATTGCTCCTGGGCCCGGTGCTCTCGTGGGTGTGAGCTTGGGGTTCAGCTTGCGGAGGATGAGTGTGCGAGGCTGGCCGCGCTGTACGATTCCAGCCCATTGCTCCCATAGAGTGGTGTTGTTCGGCTTGGAGATCAGGTGCTTGAGATCAGGGTCCTTTGAAATGTCGCGCTTGTCAAAAGTAGCCTCGTCGGCTTCAACATCAACCCAAGTGCGTTTGTTCCCGAAAACAATCTTTTTCTCCTCCTTCTCGACGAAGTCTTTGCGCAATCTACAAAGCTTCTTCTCCTTATTGGCAGGCTAAAAACAAACTCTATCATGCCATGTGCTTAATTGAACGAAACAAATAGAAAAATGTAGATACTAAGCAAGCACCAGCTTCCATGTCTTCGATGGCTTTGTGGTTGATGTCCAACACAAGATGGATTGTAGACTGTGGCACCTTGTGAAGATTTAGGAGGAGCATGGCTGACTGCATCTGCAGACTCTGTTTCTGCGGGCCCATGCATTCCGAGAAGAGCGGGTGAAGATGATAGGGTGTGATGGCGGCTGTGCACTTGTAGTTGTTGCAACGATGCTTCAAGTGATGAGGGCCACCTGTATGGAGCTTGGACAAGGTTCCACTTGAACATCTGGGGCACAACTTTCCGGAAAGATCCATCAGAAGCTTGTCCGCCAGCAGCATTTTGATGATGTCATGGTCGTTGGCCTTCAGAAGCTGAGGCAAGGTGCGTTTCCATTTGACTTGATCTTTGCGTTGACCCCGAGATCCCACAGTGACGTTGCCGCGCACGTACTTGACGGACTTCCACGAAGATGACTTTGTAGCCGCCGGTCGCTTCTGGACCTTGCGCAACTTGCCTTTTTTAGCGACAATGTTGTTATTGGGCTTCTTCCCCATGGGAGCAGAACCAGCAAGCAAGACTAGGACCTCTCACTTGAACTCAAAATCTTCGATGCATGTAATGCAAAATGAGACATGTGATATGCTTTGCCACTGCCGGTTGCGGACACTACGCGAGTGCAAAAAATCTAACTTTTGGGTTCGGAAAGCAAGATTTGGAGCACCCAAGGCTACGCGCTAGAGATCACGATGGGCCGTAACTGTGTTAGGCTTCGTATGTCAAGGCCAAAGACATCAAAAATTGAGGGCCTACTCAGTGGTGTTTGCAGAATCAGGCATCGTCCATGAAGGCCTCCAGGTTCTGTGAGAGATTTTCCATGGGATCGACGACCTCCATTGCTTCACCGGGGCTGCTGTGCACAGGCGAAGATTTTGGAAATGGCGGCCTTGGGCTCGGAGGCAGGCTCGTAGATGCTGTGGCTGCCTTTGGCGGTGACTTGGGCGAAGATGGCGGGGTGGGATCCGAAAGCGAGATGTGCATAGTGCGACCCTTCAAAGATGTCTTGAAAGCCGTAAACTTCGCTTTGACCTTCAGCGGCTCTTGCTTGATCGTAACCTTTGAAGGATATGAGGAATACAATTTTAACACCTTCAGATTTAGACGTAGATGTTTGGCGATTGCTAAAATAGCTATATCTTATGCAATTACAACCAGACCCAGTAATCATGAGACTAAACCAGCATGTCCCCCTGTATGAACTTACTGTGAAATGGGAAGCAAATTTAAAGCAACAAAAAACACGCCAACAACCAAGTAACGGGGACATGGGCACGTGCAGAAGATGTAGCCTCCTCAATATCCTCTTTTTTCTCCTGGTTTCCGTCATCCTCTTTGATGTTCTCTCCTTTGTCTTCGGGCTTAGGGACAAAATTGCTGATGAGTGCACTCGATGATTTCACGGAGCGGAACCGCTTCTTGGCTGGCTCATTTGGTTGCGCGATCTTGTCCGGATAGAAGGTTGAGTCCACAGAGATTCCTGCAAGCGTGGGTCGCACTTCAATGACATACTTTTCGCCATCGAAATTTTTGCCAAAGATAGTAGAACACCGTGGCAGAGCTTCTCCGTCAAGTGCGGCTTGCAAGAAGTTGAGTGACCATTGTACCTTCTGAGCATGTTCAGGAACATTGCCTGCGGAGCCTCCGTGCTTGTAGGTCTGAAAAAGGGGTCTGGCACAAGGTGATACCATACCGCAATCTCGGTCTGGCCAAGCGTGTCGTGGAACTGGATCGCGTGATGTCCCGGGGGTGCGGATGTAGATGCCGATCTCGGTAAACGCAACGATACAGGAACGCTTGAAGACGGCAAGCAAATCCTCCTCATCAAAATCACGATGAAACGAGGGACGCACGAGCTTGTAGAAATCATCGAAGGAGACTGTGTCTGAAGCAATTCCAGGTCGCATTTTTGACTCTCCTGTCCGATCGTAGGGATTGGAGCAAGCTTGGCAAAGCTGATTTTTGGCGTAGGAGGACGCATTGTAGCGCGCCATAGTCTTGCGATCAATACCCGAAACCTCTGTGATAGCCTTGACAGCCGCTGGTGTTTCCAGGTAGAAGTTGCCATCATCAAAGACACGAGGCTTGCTGCGACGACCACGCTCCTTACGGAAATAGTCTAAGAAGCTGGCTGTCTGAAAGCAGGGGAGTTCGTCAGTACGACCTTCCTGCAGGAGCCAGAATGCAGAGATGAAGTGAGAAAGCGTGTATGAGGCTGGACTCTTCCCTACTTCCGATTTGCCAATCCAAATGACCGCATGCTCAATCAAGTACGGCAGAAGTGGGGCAATCACGGTGTTGAGAGCCCACGGAGTGAAGTCTGCCAGGGTTAAGGGCCAGTCCGATATTGTGTCGGCCTGCGCGCCCTTGTCTGCTTGGCAGCGAAGGAATTCTTTGATGGTGCCGCGATCCCATTTGTAAAGAATGCTGTCCGGATTATTGACCTGCTCCTCCGTCCAAAAGTGAACTGACCGTCCGAATTTTCTTGGGGGCCATGCTCTTTCAGGAACTGGAAGCCTTTGCGAATGTCCTCGGTCTCCTTGGGTACCTTGTTGCTTGCATTGAGGGGGACGAGCTTTTGATAACGAACTTGGAAACCACCTAAGCCTTCCAGCATATACTGCAAAGCTCTGGTGCCGTCTCGGAAGTTTTTCCGGTAGTCGATTTCCAAAGGCCTGCCAGTGCACATGCTTATGATGGTGCTCGCAAGGATTTTGTTGCCCTCCGCGAAACGAACGTGCTTCACAATGTTCCACGTCTTGTCCTCGGACTGTAACATGAAAACCTGCATAGTGTACGGGGTGAGGTTGTTGCCCTTCATCTTGAGAGGCTCTGGATAGATCTTGATATCTCTGCTGCAAAAACAACGTCTCGATGTGTTTCAAGTCAAAGTCGCCTTTGTGGTTCAAGATGACATCTAAAAACTGAATCTTCTTCTTCAAGGCGTCGACGATTTCATCTCTGGCTGGCAAGTCTCCTATTTTGACTGAACCCACGGGCTTGTGTACTATCATTGGCTTTTCAAGGAAAATCACTTTCAAGCCTTCGGTATTCGAGATGGTTTCTTCGAGTGTGATCGCTCCGTCGAGTGTGTCCTCATGAAGCGATTGTGCGAGGGAAATGGGCCGCTGAGGGAGTGCGGACGCCATGAGGGAGCAGCGATGCGAGATTTGAAAAGGCAGCTACAGAGCAGAACACTGGATGCCTGCATCGAAATATTTACGTTAGCGGTCACCATAATGTTCAACAACAATAGCAACAACTTGTCCATGGCGGCTATGACTTATGAGCATCACAGAGCATGCGCAGAAGCAATCTTCACCTTTTGCAGTTCACGTCATGTGCTGTCTTCGTCGAGTCACAGAGCAAACCTCGATGATTGAAATCTCTTAGAGATACAAAGGAACAGCAGAGAGTCTCTTGGAGACTTCTACTGCTCGGTGCTCAGTCGCCAGATGCGAAACTCATCCCAGCGAAGGTAGTGCTCGCGCCCGTTGCAACACACAAACAAGATGTGCTTGTGCCGGTAGATCTCCATATCTGCGCGTGGGATGGATGGAAAACAAAGAGCAAAGGCGTTTTACTAACACAAAGCTTACTTAATTCGCGTAAGTCCTGCCTGACGAAAGAACGCCAATCAGCCTGGGGAACTCCGTGGGTGCACTAGGCACACTTAAGCTGTCTTGGTGGCGAGGGTCGGCGTATGCGGTGATATCCTCCCAGATTTCCAACGGAAGCTTGCTACCAAAAGCCTTCTGTAGAGACCACGTCCACGCCATGGGGGGAAGTACGTGAGTGCGCGAGGCGAACTGAGCCACTGGACAGCATACCACATCATGGTTGTCAGTTGGCAACGCATACCGAGTCCACGAACTCACCACGTCAGCTTGGATTTCTTTTACTCGCACATCCCAACTTCGGTATCTGTCTATGCCTGAACTCTCAGCATTTGAGCTGTCTTTCTCCACAGGTTCTGACCTTGGCATCATTGGTATTTTTGGGACAGTACAGTGTTTTCGTGAAATTTATTGCAAAAGTGCTGTACTGTCCCAAAAAACCCAATCCTTTTTTGCAAAAGTGCTGTACTGTCCCAAAAAAACCAAAAAAACAATCTTCTGAGGTCCTGGTGTATCGGGGTGCAAGGTTTCCAATAGATTGGTTTTTTTGGGGCAGTACAGCACTTTTGCAAAAAAAGATTGTCTTTTTTGGGACAGTCCAGCGTTTTTATTGTTTTTTCTGTAAAAGTGCTGTACTGTCCCAAAAAAACCAATCTTTTTTTGCAAAAGTGCTGTACTGTCCCAAGAAAACAATCTATTGGAGGCCCTTGCACGGTAGCTGCTTCAAGACTGTAAAAGATTGTTTTTTTTGGTTTTTTGGGACAGTACAGCACTTTTGCAAAAAAAGATTGGTTTTTTTTGGACAGTCCAGCGTTTTTGCTAGTTTTAGTGGACGAGAGTGACGCGGAAGAACTACTCATGATGCTGTAATTTGTGCTCATGATGGTAAGTTCGCTTGGAAAGGTATGGCGCGTAGCGAATGCTCATGATGCTGACGTTCATGCTCATGATGCTACGAAAAGTGTACACCCTAGACCCTCGGCCCCCCTGGAAGAGCAGGGCCAACTTGACAGAATTCAGAAAAGTATTGGTAACTGGGGGGGGGGTACCAAATATGTATATATATATATATATATCATCATGGTTGTTGATTGTTGTGTACTTGTCTTAGCTTTCCACAGTTTAAAGCAGGCACTCCTGAGAAGACTACTCTTTAGGTGTCAGTGTCTGATAGGACTGACTTTTTATGGGTCTCAAACATGAAACTTTCACACATCTTGTAAGATCTCAGACGTATGTGCCACAATTTTGGCTTCGAGCTGAGGTCACACGTTAGTTTCTTCGTGCTCCTCACAAAGTAGCAGCTGAGAAGCCTTGCAGCCTAGCACAAAGCTATGGAGCAGCAGGCCAAGGAACCGAACGCAATTCCATTCTATGGAGTCACCATGAGCCAAGTCGCGAAACGGAAGAGGGTTTACCGTGCTGAAGCTGCAAAGTTCAGTGAGCTTCTCGGAGAACAGGGAGATCGTCTTGTGGAGGAGCTTTTGCCAGACCCAGAGAGCAATATCTCCAAACGTGAATGGGAGCGTATATTCTTTGTGGCTAAGACCCACACGAGAATGCTTCTGGACCAGCTAGTCACCAAGGAGCAGCCCTGCAGACCTGCAGACCAGCTGCCCCGTGTAATTCGTTGTGCTACTCATGAAGTAGCAGCCATGTAGACCAGCAATCAGTGTGACTGTAATTCAGGCTGAACGACAAATTAACAGGCCTGCCGACCGGCAGCAGTGTGACTTTAATTCAGGACAAGACCAAAAGAGACGGTGTTGTCTCTGAATCTCTTCAAGGTTTGGTCAGAGGGAGTCTAGCTTACTGGATTCTATTGGCTGAATGGTGTCCAGCTTGCTGGACTCCATTGTAGGTTCCAGTGAAGTCAGATGTGGTGCAGTCAAGGACTGTGAGGTCAGGATTTGGAGGTTGCCACATGATTACAATTGCAGCAGCCATTATCATTGTGAAATAATGAGGTGTCTAGACCCCCAAGTGTTCCTGATTCCAGACACTGAGGCCTGAAATTAGCTTACAACTTTTCCACCTGAAGAACACCGTGTCGTCTAATGTCACATATTCATACAGTGGGCTTGGAATTTGCAGCAAAGTGCTGTTTGCTTATAGATAATATTTAGTCTAACATGATGGATTTGGATAACAAAATGATTATGGGATTAAGGTGTCTGGTGCCCACTGCTTCCACTGGAGGTCTGGACACCATGCATCCACCAGGACAGAGGCCAGAAGCTGTGGCAAGTTCAGGGTTCAGGTGGTGATATTTAGTTGCAGTGTCTTCCAGAATTCAGGTTTGCACTGACTTCAATACCAGGCTCTAGAATTTGTGAACTTGGCAAACCAGTGGGACCTCGTTAAAATCTAAGCTGCCAGACTAGGATCCCAGGTACTTTGCCCAGACCTCGGGTTAGATCCTTGGTGTCTAGACTAACAAAAAGAGCTCTGAGGCCTGGAGGGTACCAGCACAGCTGGATGAAAGTGGATGAAAGGCGTCTTTGCATCGCTGGTGCCTCAGTCGAGAACAGGATGAGAGCGAAGAACCTTCCACGTGTTCGGTGCGACTTCTTCTTCTGTCTAACGTACATGTTACATGCACGCACGATGCCTTCCATGCTTGGCCGTAGCTGTTATCGTTAAGGTCAGGAGATGAGCAGAGACTGGATGGGAGCCGTCTTTGCATGGCTGCTGCCTCAGTCGAGAACAGGATGAGAGCGAAGAACCTTCCACGTGTTCGGTGCGACTTCTTGTTCTGTCTAACGTACATGTTACACACACGCACGATGCCTTCCATGCTTGGCCGTAGCTGTTATAATCTCATTCCTCGTCTGTCTCGCTTGAGTGAGAGTGACACAGGACCCGTGTCAGGCGCGTCTGTCTCGCTTGAGTGAGAGTGACACAGGAGGCGCGGACCCCGTGTCAGGCGCTGTGTGCCATGGAAGATCGTCAGGAGAAACTGATTCTCTTACCTTGGGAAGCATACCCAGCCCTGGAGCATGCGTTGCAGCGATGGGATACAACGACGGTCATGTACCAAATGCGTTTGCCGAAGACCTTCGAGGGATTGTTGTGGCGATCCTGGGCGGCTGACTTAAAAGCCCACATTGGATGCAGCATGGTGTTTCGTACCCGGGCGCAGGACGAATAATAAAATAAGACAGAGTTTTCATAACGATTGGATAACATTACCTGACTTTGCTAATAACTTCATGACTCGATGTTCTGTCGTCATGTGGTATAGCTCACTAGGACTTGTATCTATATCATAGGTACAATTTCCGTTTACTGTACGTTTGCACTCAACGTGTCTTCATCGCGAGGATAAGCGTGGCCGCCTGCATCACGAACAAGGCATCGGCGACGTTGACAAGAGTGGTGTCATCACGGTGAGCACTAAGCGTCGGAGGCAGCACGTCGGCGTATGGCGCAGGAGGGTGTGCGTCGACTCCATGAGTGGCTTCGCCATCAAAATCGCCATGAAGGAGACGATGAGTTGGATAAATGGGTACCTGACCCGGCCCCTCCAGCCAAGTCGCGGAGTTGGGTTCCGGTCTATTCGCACGTTGTCATTCTTCGTTGGGAAAAGGCTATGGAACCTGAGGCGGCGGCTGAGACGTCCGCAAACTGGTCCAAGCATCTGAAGACTACGACTGACCGGTGGCAGCGTTCCATAGAGTTCACCTGCCCGGCCAGCGAGTCGACGTCTGGCTCTGCGGGATCAGGAGGCGTCGACCCCGATCGCCGCGAGGCTGTGTCTGGCTCTGCGGGATCAGGAGCGTCGACCCCGATCCCCGCGAGGCTGTGTCTGCGGCATCAGGAGGCGTCGACCCCGATGTCCGCATGGCGCCGGATGGGGAGACTGAAAGCGCATCGACGGATGCTCCGAGGGCCGCTCCTGCCAAGCGTCAGATCGCGTTGCAGCAAGCCGAGGCTCCTTCTTTGATGACGGACGGAATGGGGGGGGGGGGGGAAACTGTTTAGGATATATAATGTTGGATAGAGCAACCGTAGTTTTTTTTCTTTTGGAGATGTTTTCTTGCTCTTAGGGAAATTAGCATGTAGCGCGTAACTGCTCTGGCTTCTTACGTCTGCTGTTCTTCTATTAGCGTTCGCTTGGATTCTGACCTGTCTGACCCCTCAGATGGCTCGTGGGGATCTGGTTGGTCGATGGCGTATAGTTGGCGCCGTGAGAAACAAGGGCAGGAGCTACAGGGATGTGGTCTCCAGCGATTTCCATCGTCAGTTTCCCGACTTGTTCCAGGCCAGCTGCGTGGATTTGAAATCAAAGCTTAACTCCGCTTACTGGTTCTTATACGTCAGTGCCCAGTCAGAGGAGCCTCCCTGCCAGGAATGGTTGCGACGTCGCGAACTTGATCATGTCGTGGAAGAGTTTCCTCGTGAGACCAATTTGCCAGGAGAGCGATTTCGCTTTTATCGCTTGGCAGACTCGATGCGCAAGGTGACACCCGGGCCGACATGGAAGCAGGCTTTCCACGGCACTTGGATGTACGGAGTTTGGTCAACGCTGGCGGCTGGGCAGCTACTGGCGTCCGAGGACGAAGGCAAGGGACATGAGTTTTGGGCGGCGGGCATCTACTGCACTCCCCTGTTGGAAACCGCGTTCAGTTACGCTCGTCCTCAAGTTCCTTGTTGTAAGTCACACAGCATTTTATGTTTGTTTCGTGTCTCTATTCTTCGCACTCGAGATTTTGGTGCGAAAAATAGAGACATGACATCTTGCTTCGCAACTGAGGCCATGTTTGCAGATGGGTCGTACTGTCGAGCTATCTTCGAGCTCATGGTAGATTTCGACCACCTGACCGCAAAGCGCAATAAGGGAGGTGTTCAGTGGGTGAGCAAGCCTGAAGGCGTGGCTGTCCTTGGTGTCTGGCTTCTGGTAAACGCACCGCCAAGCAAAGGAGATGAGTTCATGGAGGCCTGGGACCCGCTTCTTGAAGTTCGTCCTGAAAACAAGACTGCAGTTGCTGCCGTGGTAAACGAACGTCAAATGGATTGGCGACGAGACGCTGAAAGGGTTACCTCGAATGGGCAAGGGAAACAGGTGACTCAGCATGGGATACCGAAATCACGACTGATCGGGCCATGGATGTGGAGACGGAAATTGCAAAGACGCAGAAGGGCCCAAGATCCCTTTACGCAGAGTTCATGCCTCGCATATTCCTGAACCCGCTCCGTTTACTCAGGGCCACTGGATCGATGGAGAAGAGGCGTCCTCATGCAACATCCTGTGTCAGAAGTGTTCTCACAAACGTAAGGCCATGGGTCTCCCAGCCTTAGAGAAAGCAAAGTGCGCCGACTCATCACACACCCCGGATTATGGGTTCACGCAGAACCAAAGTGGAAGGTGCATCAATTGGGATACACCAGTAATTCAGGAACCCAAGATTTGATGGTCATAATCATAGCTCTTACTGATCATGGAATGTTCGATTCCCCGCTTGATGGCAGATTGGCGTCACATGAGAGAGTGGGTGGTGACCGCGTATTCCACAATGAGAGGAAAACGCGATGAAAAGGTCTTGTCAAATTGGGTTTCGTGAGATGCCCGCCAGCAATTGCATTGCAAGCCTTCAAAGAAGGCAGAGGAGCAAATTTGTCCGTCTTGATGGGTACGAGCTCAACAGACCTGTGCTTCGTCGCCGGGAAGATTTGGGAAATGCCGTTTACAGTCAGTGGCTGAAGCATGTTTTGACCGAAGATCAATGGAACCGCATGTTTGAAGGAGCAACGAGCATCAACGAAGAAAGGGCAGGTGATGCCGTGGAGGTTTGCCTCGATCGCAATGCTTTTCTTTGCCACGTTAGCTCAGGGTGTGGGGGGACCCGTATGAGAACTACGCCAGATTGGAGCATTCCTTGAGGGCATTTGCGGTGACTACAGGGTATCTTCCCACCTCTGGTTCGCAAAGGGGTGGCATGACTGCGGAGCTCTCCGAGGAGGTCAGAAACATGGCGAAGTCGCTGGCGTCGGTCATGGGTTCCCCAGCCATCGTCATCATATGACACTCACGCAGCAGGTGCAGCACTTCGTGGCCCCACGTGCCGTTTCTGCTGGCAGGCGCATCACTTGGGGCTCTTGGGGGCTCCGGGCTCTGTGCCGTGCCCGCGCGCGCTTCGGGATGCCTGGCCGGCACAGCACTTCGTGGCCCCACCTGCTGCTTCTGCTATTAGGCGCAGCACTTCGTGGCTCCACGTGCCGTTTCTGCTCGCAGGCGCAGCACTTGGGGCTCTTGGGGCTTTGGTGCTCCGTGCGGGGTCCGCGTGCGTGCGCTTCGGGATGCGTGGCCGGCGCAGCACTTCGACCCTGATTGCGTCTGCACGGTCACGGACTTCTCCAAGCATCGCTCCTGCCGTGCGTTTCTTGCTCTGATTGACTCAACATCGGAAACGCCAGTGTCGGGAACATCTTTGTCCTGGGTGAGTCCGCAAGGATCCGCGTCAACGTCTTCACCTGGTGATGTGATGTTTTCTCTTTGTCATCTTCACAGGCTCGATGACTCCTTCATCTTCCATCTTCACGTCCTTGAGTGCATCTGGAGGCCCATGTTTCATGATCTTGAGGGCATTGATTGATGTAGTCGAGTGAGTGAGTGAGCATGAGTGAGTGTGAGCATCGTGAGTGAGTGTGAGCATGAGTGAGTGAGCATGAGCGAGTGAGTGAGTAGGACGAGGAGCAGGAGGGAGGAGGGAGGAGGGAGGAAGGAAGGGAGGGAAGAAGGGAGGGAAGGAACGAGAGAAGGAGCAAAGGAAGGCGGGACAGCCCTTACAAGTAAGAACCCCGCGCAAAGATGTAGGGAAAAACCACTGGCACGGCTGTGAGTGCAAGTGCGTGCGCGTCAGCAGCGACATGTGTGGGTACAGGTTTTGCAGGGGCAGGGGTGGGAAGAAATCTGCTGATCAGACGAGGGGGGCTGTAAGCGCCAGCCAACGCAGATATGATGGTACGTGGTCTTGTAAATCTGTCATACTGGCCTCCCACAGAGCCCACATGGGCAGACACGGCTGTGAGTGCAAGTGCGTGCGTACGGCAGCTTACATGTTTAGATATAGTGGTGGGAAGGATTCCGCTTTATACTCCGCTGATACAACGGGGGTGCTGTGAACGCAAGACTGTGTGGACATGGCAATCTGTGCTGTAACGTATGCTACTATAACAGCCTCCCAGGAAACCCACTGGGCTGACACGGCTGTAAGTGTAAGTGCGTTTGGGTACGGGTTTTGCAGGGGCAGGGGTGGGAAGGAATCCGCTGATCATACAAGGGGGCTGTGAGCGCAGGCCAACGCGCATAAAACGTTCCGTGGTCTTGTAACTTGTAAATCTACTGTACAGTGTCCTGGCTTCCCACGTAACTGTGAATCCAGGTGTGTGCGTATGGGAGTTAATACATGTTTAGACAGGGGTGCGAAGGAACCCGCTATATCATCCTCTAATGGGTTGCGGGGCTGTGAACGCAAGCCTCTGTGGATATGACCGTCTGTGCTGCACATATGCTACTATAGTTATAACGGCCTCCCAAGAAACCCACTGGGCAGACACGGCTGTGAGTGCAAGTGCGCGTGTGTAGGAGGCTGTTCGCAAAGGCAAGGGTGGGAACAAATCCGCTGAGCCCATGCGGGTTGATCTGGGATTGTTCGTAAACCAGCTACCCTCCCAAGGAATCGGCAAACACGGTTGTGAAGTGCGTGGCCAGTGGTCAGATTGGCAAAAGGTCTCATCAGGTGGGCTGTGAGCGCAAGCCCACGCAGAAATGGCGGTATGTGGTCTGGTTGGCTAGCCGCTGATAAAGAACCCCATTGGGCAGACACGGCTGTGAGCCCCGAGTGGGCGTATAGTTGGCTACAGGACCGGAATCCAAAGACACGAATTAGCACAAGCAAGCAAAAGCAGAGGTGGGAAGGACTCCGCTGATCAGGCCGGGTGCCGTGAGCGCCAGCCTATGCGGATCCGGTGGTACGTGTTGAAGACGTCAGTAAACCAGTACCTTCGGACCAATCTTCGTTGGTACCAGCACACAAGCAAAACGAAGGAAACGGAAAGGGAGAGAACGCGCTGTTGATAGGACATCATTTACCGGGGGTTTTGCCATTGCCAAGGAATCGGCAGACGCGGGTGCGAGCGCAACCTGGTATCGCGTATTGAAGTACTGACTTCCCAAACAACTACTGGCAGGGCACGGCTGTGAGTGCAAGTGCGTGCACGTCAGCAGCGACATGTGTGGGTACAGATGTTGCAGGGGCAGGGGTGGGAAGGAATCTGCTGATCAGTCGGGGGGGGCTGTAAGCACCAGCCAATGCAGATATGACGGTACGTGGTCTTGTAAATCTGTAATACTGGCCTCCCACAGAGCCCACACATGGGCAGACACGGCTGTGAGTGCAAGTGCGTGCATGGGGGAGCTGACATGTTTAGATAGAGCTGTGCTGCACGCATGCTACTAGCGGCCTCCCAAGAAACCCACTGGGCAGACACGGCTGTGAGTGTAAATGCGTGTGTGTAGGGGGCTATTCGCAAAGGCAAGGGTGGGAATGAATCCGCTGAGCCCACGCAAGTGGTGCGGTATGTGATTTCTAGGTTTTTTGTAAACCACCTACAGTCCCAAGGAATCGGCAAACACGGCTGTGAAGTGCGTGGTATAGTTGGCTACAGGACCGGAATCCAAAGACACGAAGTAGCAAAAGCAAGCAAAAGCAGAGGTGGGAAGGACTCCGCTGATCAGGCCGGGTGCCGTGAGCGCCAGCCTATGCGGATCCGGTGGTACGTGTTGAAGACGTCAGTAAACCAGTACCTTCGGACCAATCTTCGTTGGTACCAGCACACAAGCAAAACGAAGGAAACGGAAAGGGAGAGAACGCGCTGTTGATAGGACATCATTTACCGGGGGTTATGCCATTGCCAAGGAATCGGCAGACGCGGGTGCGAGCGCAACCTGGTATCGCGTATTGAAGTACTGACTTCCCAAACAACTACTGGCAGGGCACGGCTGTGAGTGCAAGTGCGTGCACGTCAGTAGCGACATGTGTGGGTACAGATTTTGCAGGGGCAGGGGTGGGAAGGAATCTGCTGATCAGTCGGGAGGGGGCTGTAAGCACCAGCCAATGCAGATATGACGGTACGTGGTCTTGTAAATCTGTAATACTGGCCTCCCACAGAGCCCACACATGGGCAGACACGGCTGTGAGTGCAAGTGCGTGCATAGGGGAGCTGACATGTTTAGATAGAGCTGTGCTGCACGTATGCTACTAGCGGCCTCCCAAGAAACCCACTGGGCAGACACGGCTGTGAGTGTAAGTGCGTGTGTGTAGGGGGCTGTTCGCAAAGGCAAGGGTGGGAATGAATCCGCTGAGCCCACGCAAGTGGTGCGGTATGTGATTTCTAGGTTTTTTGTAAACCACCTACAGTCCCAAGGAATCGGCAGACACGGCTGTGAAGTGCGTGGTCAGAAGCCAGACTGGCAACGGCTCTCATCAGGTGGGCTGTGAGCGCAAGCCCACGCAGAAATGGCGGTATGTGGTCTGGTAGGCTAGCCGCTGATAAGGAACCCCATTGGGCAGACACGGTTGTGAGCCCCGAGTGGGCGTATAGTTGGCTACAGGACCGGAATCCAAAGACACGAATTAGCAAAAGCAAGCAAAAGCAGAGGTGGGAAGGACTCCGCTGATCAGGCGGGGTGCCGTGAGCGCCAGCCTATGCGGATCCGGTGGTACGTGTTGAAGACGTCAGTAAACCAGTACCTTCGGACCAATTTTCGTTGGTACCAGCACACAAGCAAAACGAAGGAAACGGAAAGGGCGAGCGCAACTTGATATCGCGTATTGTCGTACTGACTTCCCAAACAACTACTGGCAGGGCACGGCTGTGAGTGCAAGTGCGTGCACGTCAGCAGCGAAATGTGTGGGTACAGATTTTGCAGGGGCAGGGGTGGGAAGGAATCTGCTGATCAGACGAGGGCGGGCTGTAAGCACCAGCCAATGCAGATATGACGGTACGTGGTCTTGTAAATCTGCAATACTGGCCTCCCACAGAGCCCACATGGGCAGACACGGCTGTGAGTGCAAGTGCATGCGGAGGGGAGCTGACATGTTTAGATAGAGCTGTGCTGCATGTATTCTACTAGCGGCTTACCAAGAAACCCACTGGGCAGACACGGCTGTGAGTGTAAGCGCGTGCACGTCAGCAGCGGCATGTGTGGGTACTGGTTTTGCAGGGGCAGGGGTGGGAAGGAATCTGCTGATTAGACGAGGGGGGGCTGTAAGCGCCAGCCAACGCAGATATGACGGTAACTCGGTAACCAAACCGTCGTAGTAGTAGTAGTAGTAGCAGTAGTAGTAGTAGTAGTAGCAGCAGTAGTAGCAGTAGCAGTAGTAGCAGCACCAGTAGTAGCCACAATGGTCAGTTTGCAACTCCCACCGCCCCAGTCCTGAAATTGTGCTCCACTCGATCTGAAACTGACCTCCGCCTGACCCGAAACTGACCACGGCCGGAGGCCGGAGCCGAAACTCACTCCCGCCGTTCCGAAACTCAGACCCGAAACTGACCGGCTTTGATCCGAAACTGCCCTCCTGCCGATCCGAATCTGGAACCCCCAAACTACGGGTACCGAAGTGTGTGCTGCATGCATGTAGGAAAAATTTAGAATGATTCACCGAGACGCCAGTGCACAGCAGAATACGTCAAGTGTTGCATGTGTTCGAGTTCCCGCACCCCCTCCCTGCCCTCGCACACAAGTTTGGAAGTTGTTGACTGCATGTAGGGCGACACCGAGACAACTGCAAGCCCGCGCACACACACAAAAAACATTGGAAGTGTCTTGGTTGCACGTAGGACTGTAGGATGACTCACCACGACGCCAGCATGCAGCTGAGTTTCTCAACAGTGGTATCTGTGCGAGCGCTCCCACCCCGTTGCGCGCACACAATTTTGGAAGTTGTTTCATGCAGGTAGGACGACTCACTGCGACAATTGCGAGCAGCAAACTCTCCCCGCCCCCGGCGTGTGGCCATATAACTTTGGAAGTGTGTTGAATGCATGTACTTAGGACAAAGAGGAGGAGTCACCGAGACGCCACCGAGACAACTGCAGGCAGCTAACTATCTCCCCGCTTCACAGGGCGCACACAATTTAAGAAGTGTGTTGCGTACAGGATGACTCACCGAGACGCCAGCAAGCAGCTGAATAATCTGAATATCTCAAGTGTGGCATCTGGGCGAGCGTCCGCGTGCAAACACACAATTTCGAAAGTTGTTTCATGCAGGTAGGACGACTCACGGAGACAACTGCAAGCAGCTACGGTAAGGGGGTGATCTGTGTCTTTTGTTCGCGTTATCTGTGTCTTTTTTTTCTGCGTTATCTGTGTCTTTTTTCTCTTTGTATATCGACGGGATGAGACAGATGACCCGCGTGGCTCGTGAGGCGCGTGATGAACATGCGGAAGCAAAATAGGAACGGCCTGATTCTCCATAATATGTGGCACTGTCACCGGACAGTCTCTATGAGGGTTATCTTGCAAGCACTGGGAGAGCTGTTGCAACATCGAATACTGGACAATCTCGCTGCGTGCAGTGCCGTGTGTAGGCTTGGATTTTCTGCTTCGGCATTTGGTCGTGCAGGGTTGGCTTCACCAACTCTGCTGAACTGTGAGGACACCCTCCTTCAGAGTTACCGACCGAGGTCCTTCGCGGGCCTGGGTTCCCTGCCACCTGGGCTTGGCCAGGCCGGAGAAGGACTCTAAGAGGGCCTCTGACGGCCAACGCCAATTGACTCAGGCTGGGATCGATGATGGCTTCGAAGATGCCTGAGCCCAACACGCGGCCTTTGTTCATTAAGCTGGGTTCTTCTCCCACACATGGCTTCGGCTGGAGCCTTTCCGTTTCTTCGAAGCCACGGCTGGCTGGACTAGCAGTGCTCTGCTCTCCCCGGTCCTGCGACTGCCGCAGCTCTCCCTCCTGACACTTTGCGACGACGACCAGTACTAGTGTCTTGTACGGTCGCATGCTGCTTTCAAAGGTCCTTGCACAAATGAGGCAAGTAGTCTTGAGTCATGACCCTTCTGCATCGTGTCCTGGCATTTTCTGGTGCCGCTTAAAAGCTCGAGGAAGTAGCTTTGCAACGGCTGCGGCCAGCTTCTATCCATGACATGACCAAGATGCTGATTATCCAGCATCTTGTTGATCGGTACTCGAAACATCAGCCCGACATCATGATGGCCGGTTTACGAGATCAGACATGAGCATTCTGCTCTGGAAGGCCACTTCTACCGACACCGTCGACACGACATGTCATGACAGGCTAATGCAGACTGTGGCTGAGACGTTTTGGGGATGCGTTTTACGTGTTCCGACCTTGTTTTTCTGTACGGCATCGGAATTCAATGCTGGAGAGCCGTCTTGCCTCTGCCTCAGTCCTCCTTCAGCCTCGTGGATGCTAGAAGTGACTCCTCCACCTCCTCCTCCTCCTCCTGCTCCTCCTGCTCCTCCTGCTCCTCCGCCTCCTGCTCCTGTGTACCGTCCTCTTACGCCACCGCTGTTATTCTGCTCATGTTCCTTGGGAAATCTGCAAGTTTTTCTCACGCTCAGGCATTCGACCCTGCATGAGGCGACACCGCATGTGCTTGCATAAAGTCATGCTAGCAAAGGTCGGCATCATATTGACATGGCCTTACCGGCTTGGGCTTCGGTGCGTTGGTTGTTCAGTCCGCGCCTAAGTTCCTGGCATGGCTTTTGCACAATCGTTCAATGACATCGCTGGAGGTCTGTCAATGCTAACCGCTACATTCCGTCGCTAAGCCTGTGCCTCAAAAAAGACGTGGAATGGTAGAGTCAGCTGCTCCCTTCCTTTCATATCCGGCCTCTGCCGATTGGGTCCTGAAGTCCGGGTCAGGGGCTCGGACGCAGCACATTTCTGCAGTCAGTTTACACATGGTGGGGCACATAGGTATCTGGGTGCTGTTGCTATTCTTTGTTTCTCAGCTTCCCTCGTCAGCATGCTTAAACTCCGAGCTTGCAGTCCTCCAGGCGCAGTTGAAAGATGTTGAAAGAAGATTTGCATGTTTCGGGGAGGGGCTGGCCGGTTGTGACATGGGCTGAACTCGAGGAAGTCGCAGCCTTTTGCAGACTCAAGTCGGGACGCGAGTCAAAAAAAGCAGCATCTCACACCTCCACCAGAAGCCACGATTGTTGAACTGCTGGTTGAACGATGCCTGACTTGCACGCATGCACAGTCCTTTCAGACTTCAGACAGACCACCATGCCGCCTATGCCAAAAGCACTGTACCCAGTCAGCTACCCGCCTTCAGCAAGCGTCCGCAGCAGCTCGAGCGAGGCTAAAGCTGGTTCTCCACCGAAGGACAAAGGCACTCCTCCGTCTTCGCGGTCACGACGACTGCGGAGCTCGACGCCTTCCAAGTCGCCGAGACGAAGCTCAACGCAGCCGCGTGCAGATCCAGACGGAGAGTTCTTCTTCGACCTCCAGCTGGAGAAGAAAGGCGAGCTAGAGGCCGTCCATGCTTTTGCAAGGTGCCTTGCTGAATTCGCAGTTGGCTTTGCAGTTGGTTGTCGTTCAGTGTCTCGCGTAAGTAGCAACCGGAACACATTCATTTGCTGGCCGTCTCCCGTGATTCAGGTGCTTGACTGGTGTGGATGATATGTCCAAGGAAGTTTTCTATGACATTACGCGGACCAGTGGAGGCTTCCAGGCTTCTCTGCGTATTCCCGCCTGGAGCAGCGAGTCCTACGAGGGAGAGGCCATGTGCGTCACAAAAAGCAGGGAAACAGTTATCCCGGTTCTCCCTGTCCCCATGCGCAATGGTAGTTTTTGCCCGAGCCTCAGGTGATGCCGAATGAGAAGCGGGCAAAGAAGTCTGCAGCCTATAACTTCAAGACAGATCCAACAGTGCTGGAGCGGTCGCGCAGATTCCCCAAAGGGGTGAAGCGGTTGACAAATTTGGCAACTGTTGACGGATTTAGACAGAAGCGCCGTCTTGCCCAAGAAGCGCGCAATCAACATGTACAAACTTGACAGGATCTTGACAGGCGTGGCTTCGATTGTCCGTGTTGGCCACTTTGCAAATCTTGCAGAGACGAGTCGCTCCTTTGCCACTGGTTGAAGATCTAGTGATGACTCCTGTTGCCCAGCCGCTAGCTACCGGCAGGCAAACCTGGCTCAGTCGAGATTCAGCTATCCAGCTTGATTTGCACTCAGTCGTGCGGAGATGTTGGAGCATGGCAATGACAACAGCGGTCATGGGCGATGGACATCACGGCGATGCTGATTCATCTGACCGTTATGATTGTAGCAGTGAGAGTGATGATGGCCCATCCGATGTGGTGCGAAGACCTCGTACTGAAATTGCAACATTTCAATTTGACACGTCGACTGTGGAAAGCATTGCTGCTCCCTGGGACATGCCTAAAAGGCCAAGCGAAGCGGCTCCCTGGTGTTGTGCAGTTCACGATGTGCCGCGGGCTGTGACCAGAAAGTTGCCAGAACGCCTGTCCCGTTTCCATCCAGATGTGAGGTTTATGCTCCCTTTGGTATGCAGTGCGGCGAGGAATAGGCGTTAAAGGTCCTAATCACCATAGAACCCCAAAAAACTGAACCCGAAAGCCTACAAGTTAGAAGCTCCAAAGCCCCATATCCAAAATCCTAAAGCAAAGGCACCGTTCCTGCATGCTCGACCTTACCTCGTTGTGGCGGGGCATGACGACGACTCACTCTGCTGCTGCTCTTCCAACAGTATTGCAAGTACTGTCCGAAATACGACTGCCAGCACCAACGACCTATTCTTGTCTGCTGATCAACGCGATATTGGTTGTGGTCATCGAGATTTCCAGTATTCACATACTATCGTCTTATGTTTCTGCTCCAGCCTGAATGAACAGATGCAGGGGGTGCAGGTTCGTGTGAATTTTGCGTTGCTTGGAGGGCGCACGCTTGAAAGTGCCATGTGCTTAGAGAAGACGGAAGCCTCTCTTGATGTACCCCTTCTTGAGCGTGTCGCTCTCGGCTCACTCGGGTCATCTGTGTGGTCGCTGAGCTTCTGCCCGGAAGCTCAGCGCACAGAGCCTTCTCCATGTCATTTTGGCATGGAGGATGCTTCTTGTGCTGTGTCTGCACAGCTGTCTGTGGGGCAACGTTCCTCAAGCACCATGAAACTTGCCGAGGTGATTTTGACCCCCGCTTTCCGTGTGGGAGCCTCAGGGAATCCTATCCACGCTTGCGGACACTTGCATTCCACACATGATCCGTCAAGCCTCATCTCCCATGTCATGCATTCCACACATGATGGCACGCGAAGTGATGTAGCTCTTGATCGTTTCCAGCATGCAAAAGGGCCAAGATTGGCTTCGGACGCCTGGGTGGAACGGCAGCCTTCAGGGTCACAAAGAACGTAATTAAGACCAGGTGCTGATCCAGGGGAGGGCATGCAGACACAATTGCCCCAAAGGGTGGGGATCCCATCAACCGTCTGCCAAAGATCTGCTCGTGCACAGGTTCTATACATTGTTTCTAGATTCTGGGCCACCGCATGGCAGGCAACAGAGCTACCAATCACTCTATGTAACCGACATAGCCAGTGCAACATCAACTCCATCGCACTTCTTCTGCTTCAAGCAGTGAAGCATGCCAACGGCGCCATTGGAACCATACAAGCCGCCCTCAACGAACTGCTCAGGTCTGACAACAACGACATCCTGAAGTCACCGTCATGGACGCGACTCCTAAGAGGCTGGAGGCAACCCAGACAGCTTCGCGTTGTTTGTTGACCTTGGTAACTGCTGGAGTCTAGCCTGCCCGCCCGATCCCAACGTCAAAATCATCGGCGTGTCCACTGAGAAGTGAATCAAGTTTTGCCTGTTGCGTGTTTTGGGGAAAGTCGCCAGAAGTTTAGATTATGAGTAAATAGTAGTAGTAGTAGTAGTAGTAGTAGTAGTAGTAGTAGTAGTAGTAGTAGTAGTAGTAGTAGTAGTAGCAGCAGTAGCAGTAGCAGTAGCAGTAGTAGTAGTAGCAGTAGCAGTAGCAGTAGCAGTAGTAGTAGTAGTAGTAGTAGTGGCTAAATAAGGAGGGCCGGGGCAATTTTGATAGAATATTGCGGGGGAAGGCATGGACCAAAGCACCTAGAGTACTGAGTGGTATGCGGGTGGCCCAGAGTCCTACAGCGTAAGAGACCGGGAAGGCGTTAATGTTAAAGGATCCCCTTGCCATCCTGTTGGCCAGGAGTTCATGGAGGCGTTCCTGTCCTTCCGTTTGGCCTGTGTCCCAACCGCGGCTGCCGCTCACTTCGCTGGCTTAAAACCTGAGGCTGAGTCTATACACCTGAGGCGACTGTGGAGCAAGTGGAGCATGCGGCGCTCCGGGTGGGACGTTCAAAGTGCGGAGTTGCTGGGTAGCCTCGCGCCCGTGGCATAGGTCGGCGTAGAAGTCCACCATGATGCCCCGGGCCTTGGCTTCCCGAATGAGTCATTTCGTTAACCTTTGGTAAGGGCAGCTGCAGCCGAACTGAAGTTAGGAAGACGCCGCCACTGTGGCCACTGTGCTGGATGTTGGGACCTTGGCATCCTGTGTTGCGCCGTGATAGTGACAGCTGTGTCAGCTGTGAATACATAGGAAGATGCTTGCATACGCTCCTGTTTGAAAAGGTGTCTGGCAAGAAGGGAGCACGCGCAAAGACCTCAGCAAACGACCACATGTTGAGGGGGTAAAGGGGTGCTTCAAAGCTTGCACTTGAAGGCGTGATACCGCTAGGATGGTTGGGGAGGGTTGGGGATCTCTCGGCATGCGACGCAGCTTCAAGTGATGTTAGTATGTTGGGATGGGCCTGAAACGCCCTGTTTGTTACAGACAGTTGCGGCGTCCCGTGCCAGCTCTCAGGACATGGACCTTTTGCTCCGCGCCGCCCTGGCTTGGGGATACGTTTCTCAGGCCCCCTGTGCGCCTGCTCCGCTTCCTACTATTAGCTTGTTGTGGTTGACCTGCCGTGTAAAGCTCCTGACCCCGAGCCAAAAATTCATCCGTGGCCGTATAAGATAACCAAAACTCGCTCTGCAAGCCCTCAACTTGGAAGTCTGCACCCGACTTAGCTTGAGGATGTTGGGATGGCCCGAAAGATGCACAAGGCCAAGATGAGTCTGCCACGCCTGACAAAGCGGGTCCTCTGAATCACTGGTATCGCACGGGAGTTTGCCTCGAGCCCCGTGTGCCAGGCCCACAAAGTGAGAGGGCGACGCATGACACAGTCTCGACTCCCAGACTCCCAGATGAATACCCTAGACCTGCTGTACAGTTTCGTCTTGGCGATTGTTTGAGGAAGTTGGGCGGGAGCTGAGCGATTGCCGCTCGTTGCTCAGTGAGGCTACACAGGCTGATCTTGTGTGTACAAGAGGCAGATCTGTCCGAGCGCTTTTGAACGGAGTGGAGCTCTTCGCTGTCTCTCTCTCTCTCTCTCTTTCTCTCTCTCTCTCTCTCTCTCTCTCTCAGTCGTTTCCGTTGTTGATTTTGAGATATCTTATGTGTAGGCATTGCCTAGGCACGGATATTTACAGAACAGTTTCGCCAAGAAGGAATCCCGTCAGCAAGGTTCAGCCACACCCGGCTTCCGTGCCATTGTCATCCTTAACTCATACCCCAACGTCGAGAAATCCTGAACGGAAGCAAAATGCTGCAAAAGAATTTCGGATTTGTCAAGGCTGATGAGGATATGAAATTTCCGCACACTTCAAGGCCATTCCCAGAAGTTTCCAGTCCGAAAGGAGTTCATGCTCATCCATCTATGTCTTTCGTCCCTGCTATGTGATTTGTTTTCCTCTCAATTTCAGGTTCACCCTACTGTTTCGACCTCTCTCGATATCCTTCCTCCTGATGCCATGTCACGCGCGAGTGGTGTGCAAGGACGGTGGTCAAATCGCGTGCTACAGGTGGATGTGGCCTCCAACATTTCCTCTCAATTGAAAGGCTGCTTGGACTACAGAGTTGGGTTTAAGTTTAAACTCAGGATTGTTCACAGCATCCCTTCTGCTCCTTTGCAGAGGCAGCATCTTCCGGGACGGCTGGCTTCGTGTAAATATTTCTGACTTCGTGCTGTGCGAGATACAGCAGAGCACCTTTCCAGCACTCACGCTTCACAAGAGGCTCCCGTTAGCCTTGGCGCTTCATTCGTGTCTATTCAATACCCTCATTTGTGCAAGTTACAGACATCAATGAAGGCAGACGTTGCAAAGCCTGTCGTGCGATTGAGGGTTTGGCGGCCAAATGGCAGCACGGCATGAAGCGCACTCTGAGCATTTGAAGGTTTCAAGCACAGATTCATCCATTCATGGAACTGAGCACAGCAAGGCCGACAACAACGTGGTCGATGGGCATGGGATGCCTTGCATGGTTTAAAGGAGCCCAAAATGTCCCATCGTTTCCCAGAGCTGTTGAATCCTGTGCCGAAACGTAAAGGCATGCGGGTGCAAGTGGTTGCACACCAAGGCGTGGATTGTCGTCGTGTGCGTTGAGGGCACGTGCGCTCCGCAGCCGCGAGAGCTTTCAAGAGCCGATGGCCAGCTGTCCCCTGCCGCTAGCGAGACTTAAGTGGGTTACAAGTATTCTTAAGTACAGTTACCGTAATTAGTGTCAGTTACTAAGTCCCATGATCCTCCAGGTGGACCTTAAACCCTGAACCCCAAACTGCTAAACCCTCAACCTTACCTGGCCTCCTTCAGAACTTTCAGCTCCAATACAGAAACCCCGCAGTCACAAGAGGCCAGCAGGGTTTTGGGGTATCTTGCAGTTTCTTCACCTAGGAGGTATGATGGAGCTTAGAATCCTAAGTACTCGGACCCCTCTAGCCCTAAACCCTACACCCTGAACCCCAGAACGCTAAACTTCTCACCCTGAAGCCTAAAGCCGATCCTAAGTAATATCGAGACCGATAGATTTCCCACTATTATTGGGCTTCTTCTTATGACAACAATAAAAAAATCAAAACCCTTCTCTAAGCATCATGGCCCCTCCAGGTGTCCTCCTTGTAAGTATAGGATAATCTACTCCAGAACCCTATTCTGACTGTTAACAGTCGTCACTTGGAGGGGCAGGGGACGTAGCAGGTAGGTTATAAGTAGAGTCATAAGTACCCGAAGTGGAGTTACCCCAAGTATGAACCTACTTATAACCTTCTTATTTAATATAAGTATTAGTAAATCAGCATCTTCTGGGACAGCTGTCTTCGTGTAAATGTTTCTGACTTCGTGCCGTGCGAGATACAGCAGAGCTCGCACTGCACAGCATGGCTGGCACCTGCCCAGCACTCACACTTCACAAGAGGCTCGCGTTAGCCTTGGCGCTTCATTCGTGTCTGTTTGGCGGCCAAATGGCAGCACGGCACGAAGCGCACCCTGAGCATTTCATCGATTCATGGAACTGAATGGCTTGCATAGTTTGAAGGAGCCAAAATGTCGCATCGCTTGTCAGTGGAAAGTCATGCGGGTGCAAGTGGTTGCACACGAATGCGTGGATTGTCGTTGTGTGCGTTGAGGGCATGTGCGGTCCGCGCGACTGTCTTCAGGGCCTTGATTTTGTGAAACTCCCACATGTCCAGGGTAGAAGGTATCAGTAAGTAAGGCATGCATTAGTAAGGCGGCACGCATTGGCATGCAATGTCGACCACTGAAGCAGACGGAGCAGAAGTTGGGTGGAAAGGCCCCCTGGCTTTGGCTTGCATAGTTTCGAACCAGCTAGTAGATTGAAGACGACAGAGAGTATGCAGCAAAACCTGCACTCCCGCACGTTCGCCAGGATTCTTCTGTGCGATCTGGCCGGCTCAGAGCAGTTAAAGAAGTCCGACGTGGGCGGCTCAATACGAAAGGGGCAGGTGTGCTTTTTGCATGGCTGCCATGGGGTTCACCCTTGCGCCTGAGGTCATTGAAAGCTTTGGGCGATGCGGCTTGCCTCAATTCAATGGCAAGTCAAGTCTTTCTTTGGCTTTGCATAGCATTGCTGAGGTCACGGAATCCTTGGTGAAAGGCTTCACACGGGGAATTGGATCCGAAGTCGGGGATTGGCATGGCCTTTTGCTCGGAGGTGCCGGGCAATTGCCGTACAAGAATCACAAGCTCATGCCCTGGATGGAATGTAGCTGGCTCAGCTCGCGGCCTCCGCTTGGACCCTTCTCATCTCAGCAAGGAGAGCGCCTCAGATCTAGCCCTTTTCGCATAACTAGTGACCTAGTGGACTTCTTGCATCTGGTCTGGGACTCCTGCTGTTGTCAAGTGCACACCTGGACTTTCGTGTGCTGGCCCCTTTGATTTGCTCACCCTGGCGTAGCGACATTTATGCAGCAGCTCGGCAAAGCTGGTTCGCCTGCTTCGGTTTTTGCCCTTCGCCGGATCGCGCCTGCGCCATCGGTCCGGGATCCGTCTTGAGCCGTTGCCGGCCCCGGCCCAACAGCACGCTTGCCTGGGTCTGCCACTGCTGGTGTCTGGTGTCTGGATTTATGCACCTGGCCAGCCCGCTCTTGCTGCGGATTTTGGGCCTCTTTCGACTTTCGGAGGCCGTGGCCGGCTCTGTGCGCCTGGATGTGAGTTTATCTGTTCTGGATGTGGGACTTTCGCGTTAATTGGCCCAACTGCTTTGGCTTGAGGCTTGTCCTCCGCTTCAGAAAGAGCTGTGCTCGATTCCTCATAGCCACTTCGCTCGCTTGCAAAGCCTGGAGCAGCCTTGGCCGCCTCGGTCCTAGCACAAGTCGGCGTTTCGATGTTCCTATGGATACTTGGCCACTTGCCTCGGGCCTGCTTTCTCAGCTCCGCACGGCCAGTCCACCTCTGCTGCAAAGTTCTGCATAGCCCAACTGCGTGTCGCCGCAACTCGATGTTTCTTCACATGGGGCAGCATCCTTGTTTCGTGTTGTCCTCTGCATTTGGTCGGGCTTGGCGCCCGGACTTGATGAGATCTTCCAGCTTCTTCTCTGGACTTTACAGCCACACTTGGCTTGAGCCGTGTAGAACTCGTTTTCTCCTGGTCGATTGTGGGTGTGACGTGACTTGGCTCTTTTCCTCGACCGCAGGGCTCGGGTCAGCCTCTCCGTGCTGGCCTTGGGCTTGTGGAGTTTGGCGCCGCCCGTGCGCAGCGGCTCGGCCCGACTTGGCCCGCAGCAGTGTCTTTGGAGTTGGCTTGGCTCCAGCTGCGTTGCAAACTTTGCATTCAGAAGCGTCCTTGCTTTTTCCTTCGTGTGCCTCTTCGGCTCAGGTCCGCCGCTTTCCTGCCCCAGACCTCGTCACTTTGGGTATGCTGCCATTCACACAGCCCTCAGTCGTCCCGCAGCCGTCTCGCTGGGCTGTTCTGATATGTCTCCGGTGACAAGGGATCTCTTGGCATGCGGCAGCCTGTTGTCTTTGCAGCAGCACTGTTATCCAGGCTTTCTACTGTTCGTTTCCTCAGTGACTCATCGCTAACTTCGCCGGTGCTTGACGGCGCCGAACTCGAGTCTCGTCGTTGCTTCCGAGGAGCTTTGGCCACCTGGACTTGGGCCTTCCCTCTTCGGATGTGTGCAGCGGCAGAGACTTCGCTTTCCGTGCCTGTGCTGGCCGCTTTGGAGCTAGCCCACTTGTCCGGAACTGCTGTTGCCTCGGGATGTCCTCGCTGGCAGCTTCCGGGCCTTGTTTCGATACATCGAGCGTGATACAGAACGTCGCGAGCACCGGGCATTTCGCAGCATGCAGCGTTTGGCAAGGCTGGGACTCTTCCAAATAGATCGATGGTGTCTTGTCGGATTCGTGTTCCCAGGTCTTTCTTCCGAATGGCACAGTTCCGCATGTCCGGGCTTGGGCCTGCTATAGACCAAATGCTCCCCTGTTTACAATCGACCCGAGTGCCGGCTCTACGTCACCACCAAGGAGCCCTGGCAAATTGGGCGGGGCTTCTGACACCTGCTATCGATTCTGGTTCTGCTATGCCGGACATCGTGTTGCCACTCCGGAGCCCTTCCCGACTTTGCAGCTGTGCCTGTGCCTGACCTTTCATGCCCTGACTCGCCAAGTCTAAGAAGGGCCGTTGCCTGCACATCCGCTACCGCCTTTGTTTGCAAGGGCTCGACCAAGGTTCCTTCTGTGCTGTTCCCGATGTCGGGATCTCAGCTGCTATCTAGCTCCCAAGGAACTTGTTCAGAGAAGACTTTGTGCTTCCCTTGCTCGGAGTTGCTAGCACAGCCAGCCTGCCATTGGCATGTGACATGTCTGTGTGAGACTTCTCTCCAGTGTTTCCTAAGCTTGTCCTGCCTCGGCATGGCTGCATCATTGGTCGGCTTGGCATGATTAGATATGCCCGCCGCTGTTTTCGACATGCTGAAGT